TAGCAAACTTAAAAGCAAATAACATTTTGGGTAACCCATATCTTTGGGCAGTTTCGTCAGAGTTTTTCCATCGACCGTCATTAAGAACATGGTGTACTCTTTTTATTCCTCCTCTCTCCCACACCTTAAAATGAAGCATTCGGTTCCTTATTTTAATATTACTATTATTCCATAGTATCGTTCTCATTATGTTATTCGTCCCCTCAATATTTACATATTTTAGTTCAGACCATGTACAAAGCAAATCAAAGTAAAAATATGGCAAATTTGCTGTTTTACATAATTTTTCCATGTCTTTCTTGTGACAGTTAAATTCTAAACTTAAGGGTATTCCCCCAACCTTTTCAATCCAATAGGAAAACAATTTTTTCCATGAGGTATTTTGACAGTTCAAATATTTCATTATCCATGAAAGACGCAATGCACTAACTCTAGCTTCCAGATCAATCATTCCCAACCCCCCACTTGTAACATCATTAATACAAATATTTCTTCTTATTTTTTCTGTTTTTGAGCGCCACAAAAAGGAGTATAATAACTTATTAATTCTTTTGATGGCATCTTTGGGTGCTGGAACAGCAGTAGCCACATATACTATTTGTGATGCAGCTAGCATCTTTATAACTGTGATTTTCCCGTAGTACGTCAGATGACGCATTTTCCACAAATCTAAAATTCTTTTAATCTTGTCAATTTTTTCTTCCCAATTTAGTGTTTCTACTTCTTTTATATTCATCCCTACATAAATCCCAAGAAATTTAAATGGATCGTTTGAAAAAGCCAATCCTTCAATTTCATTTGCATCACATCTTTGTGAAAGCTGCATTATTTTCGATTTATCCCAATTCACCAAAATACCAGCATATCTGCCAAATTTTTTTATTTCGTCCATTGCATGTCTCACTGACGCAAGTGAACTGAGTGTCATTACCGTGTCGTCTGCATATTGTGCAATTTTAATTTCTGTTTCAAGTCCTTCATGATTTTTATCTAGAACTTGTATACCTTTAATATCTTTATTTTGATTCACCTTTAACGCTAAGATTTCTGCAGTAATAATAAATAACAATGCTGATAGTGGGCATCCTTGCCTTACACCTTTCTCAATTGTGAAATTTTCTGAGAGCCATCCATAATTCATAACACTACCACATGCATTGTGATATAGTGTGCGAATCCATTTTATATATGTATCTTTGAACCCAAACATTTCCAACGTTTTAAAAAGAAAAGAATGATTAACATTGTCAAAAGCTTGTTTGAAATCGATAAACATAATAATACCCGGAACATGTTCTGACTCACAATTATAGTCTATTATATCTTGTATAAGACGTACGTTTTCAGTAGCTGACCTTCCTTTCATAAAACCCGACTGATCGACCGATACTATAGTATTTATTACACGCTTCAGTCTATGTGACAAGGCACGAGCAGCGATTTTGTAATCGACATTGAGTAATGATATTGGCCGCCAGTTGCCGAGGCGCGTCTTAGGACCTTTTTTATACATAAGAGTAAGAACAGATTGTTTTTGTGACCATGACAACTCCCCATTACAAAATCCCGTATTCAGACTTTCCAACACCAGGTCTTTTATCTCTGACCAGAAACATTTATAGAATTCCACTGTTAGGCCATCACTGCCTGGCGATTTATTATTATTCATGCCTTTTAATGAGTTCCAACATTCTGCTTCAGTAAGTAAACCTTCGCAGCTGTCTGCTTCTTCTTCGCACAATGAATGAATATCTATGTTTGTAAACACGTCGTGAGAGCTATATTGATGATCATCGATTGAATACAAATTCGTATAATAACTATGTATGTGCTTTAAAATATTATCTTTCTGAATTTTCCCATTAACTTCTAAAGAGTCTATTTCTTTTTTCTGGCCCCTTCTCTTTTCGAGTTGCAAGAAATATCTATTTGATTTTTCACCCTTTTCTAACCATTTCTCCCTTGAACGTACAAAAGCACCTCTACATTGATATGTATACCATTTGTCAATATTATTTTTTAGTTTCTTCATTCTATCGTTATCCTCTACAGATAGGTTACATTCATTTTCACATAGATCTCTTAATTCTTTTTCTAAATTAACAATGTAACATTTTTTCTTTTTATTCACATCTATTGCATATTTCATACTAAATTCCTTTATCTTTATTTTACAAAGTTCCCATTTTTGTTGCAAATCTAAGTGTCTATATTCAAGTTTTAGTTTTCGAATAACATCTGTGACATTTGTTCTATATGTCTCGTCCTCAAGCAGAGAGCAGTTTAGTTTCCAAATACCTTTCCCACGCTTCTGTTCATGAACCTTAATCGTAAGTGAAACAGCATTGTGGTCACACTTTAATGCAGGTCTGATACAGTCATGGTTCAGTGACAAAGCAATGGCCTCGTAACTGTGGGGCCCCAGGATCAAAACCGTGTCGATGTGCTATAATATATTAGTGCCCTTTTGGGGGCATTAATCCTCATTACTTACATTTATGACTTAAGGGCGTAGGTCCCCTAGTTGATAAGCATAGTAGCATACACATGCTTTAGCAGTCACGCAAAACACACATTGTCAAATTATTATTCAATAAAATCTGAGAACGTATACTATTATTTACATCTATTATTTTTAAATTATTTTAAAAATAATTCCATTAATTGGGGTAAAACAAAGATATTCCAACTTTAAGAGCGACAGTGTATAAAACCCATGAGCTTCTGGGGGCTCCGCCCCCTGGACCCCACACCAATTTGTGTCCTGCCAGTTTCACAAATTAATAAGGTATTAAAATATGCTCATCTGACAGTAACTAAATGCCTATACCCCCTGAGCGTCTGGGGGCTCCACCCCTTGACGCCTTGCTATTAAAGACCTAGCTAACCTTCATTTAATATAAAAATAGATTTAACATTACATATTTGTTTGTAATAAAATCAACATGTTTAATATACATACGTCAATTAAGTCGACAATAAGCCTAAGCTCCTTTATTCTTCAGTCAGGTGGCGCTAGCTGCGCTGATGTAGCCATCACAAGCTTATGCCATCCTTCTCCGTCTGCTGTAGTCTAGTTCTGGACCCTTTTAATGATCTTTTTTATTCGCCGACTATAAGCGTTAAGCCGAGTGATGGCGCGATCCTTAATGACGGCGCGCGCGCCATCACTCTTAACGCTTGTAGTCGGCGACTTAAAAAAACAAACATTAACAGGGTCCAGAACTAGACTACGTCTGCTGTAGCTGTCGTTGCCTCTGACAGGTTTTTCCTTTTCCCCTTTGGATGTCTTTCCCGCCACCAGTAGGAAAATATCGTCACATGCCCTGGTCACACAGCGGAACTCGTGGGCCATGTACAAAACTTGGGGAGGGGGGGGGGGGGGCGTCGCTTGCTCGTTTATCATCCTTCCAGTTTCTAAGAAATTTGCTTAATTGTAGTAAAATTTCATTTTAGTATTAAAAGACAATTGAATATCAAAGTCATATATTTAGGCCCCTTGCTGCCCGAATGTAACATTCCCAGGCACTTCACTGTATGAGATTAATCGGGCCCCTTTACTGTCCGCTATTTCTACAACATTTAAGGGGGGCTGTTTTGGGATAAACTAGATTGAATCCCTTAACAATTTGTTCTGCTTGGCCCAATGCGGCCTCCGGAACCGGGTGGTCCCTGAATAAAGTTTATGCAAATGATAGACAGTTGTAATCTTGATGTTCCTGATGCTGTAAACCTCTGTTAAAGATACTATGTCCCTTTTGCATCCAACATCAAATTCTGTACAACTTTGCAGGAAATATGAGTATGTCATGTATGTCATATCTGTGAAATTTAAACACTAGCAGTGTCCTCATATTCAAATTATGCAAGGAAACCTGTTTACTTGCTAGATTTCACTAGACACTATTGAGTGAGTAACTGGAAGTGTTCATCTTTGGTAATAACATACATAAAATGAGCTGTAAAGGGTACATGAGCATTTGTCTACATCAATAACTCACTTCATGTAATGGCCAAAATTAAACTGATGGAATATTTGCGTTATTGCGTAGCATAAAACGTACGACCATTCGGTACAATGGTCTGAAAAATCAGACTATTACTTACTGGCTCTATAGCTCCTAAGTCGATTCGACAACTAATAGTCATTATTTTCCCACTTAAAGACATTTTCAAGCCCCCCCCCCCCCGCCCTTTTTTTTAAAGGGAAGTTCTAAGTTAGTATTGTCTTTCAAATGCCGTTGGAATTTAACCATTTGATCATTTAGTTTTGCCTGCAAATGGGACATAGTACCTTTAAAGAGCAATCTAACCCTGGTAATACTTTTATTCGTATGGAAAGCAGAACAATAAGATAAACAAAATGGCGAAAGTTGGAAATTAATTAGGAGAAATAATAAGAAAATTATGAATGTTTGAAAGATGAGATCACTAAGTCAATTAATGCGAATCGCAAATTGGCAGTTTTATCAATGGATTTGGACGTAATCGCTGATGACTATCCTATTTGTCGTGTAATTTCTGTGTTTCTCCTAAGTGCCTTTTCTCTTGTGGGATTTCTCTAAATATATTATGGATAACATATTATTATATGTCCTCTAAAGAGAAAAGACCCTCCTGAGTCAAATATTTTTGAGAAATTGACACTTTACTCATGTTGTGTGTTAGAGCAAATTGAAAAGTTGTCCGCATCTACATCACAGAAACATCACACAGAGACAGAGACCATTCGGCCAATTGGGAGAGCCCATACCTATGGTGATTACAACTTTCAAAAATGCATAACTTTCAGATTTTTTTTGTCCGATTTCGTTCAAACTTTCACCAGTCTACTTCTCTGATTGTTCTGCTTTCCGCTAGATAAGAGTAGTTTGCTATCACGGTTGGATTTACCTTTAAGCTTATACTATTCCGTCCGCTAACTCCAATCGGCAATAATCTACCACTACTAGGCTAAAAGATTATGCTCATAAACGACAAACACAAACCATGCACGAAAGTTACAGTTTGAAGTGACATTTATTGCAAAATGACTTTACGCATGTACGTATATTATTATTTACATAACATGGCACACAGCACACATCAATAATAAATGTATCCCGACATTTTCGACTGCTGATGAACATACGGCCATCACATAAAATATTCTGGCATTTTCCTTGCACCAACACGTTGATAACATTGACGAAAGTATCACGTATGGATGAATACAGAAATGGATAATGATTTATACACATGTATCATCATAATCGTCGTTTATTTTTAACATTTACATGCATGGACGGAATAACTGCATTGCAAAAACATCAAATAAAGTGTCATCGTTGTTGACACACAATCAATTAAAAAAAAAACGTTCTCATATTTACCCCCCCCCCTTTTCTTTCTCTCTCTCTCTCTCTCTCTTTCTCTCTCTCTCTCTCTCTCTCTCTCTCTCGCCCATTCTCACCCTTTACTGACTCAAAATCCATAATCAAATATAAAAGTAAATAAAACGTTTTTCGCATGATTAACTGCTATTGCTTCAAGATCAATTTAACTTTTGCATAGTGTTTTGATAAGGAAAAAATACTGGCCAACATTTCACTGGAATACAATTTTTGGAGTCTACAGAAAATAAAAATATGGCGGAGAATACCGTTAATGTTAAGCGAAACTGCTACAACTGCAGCTATACTATAAGATGACCGCAAATACTTTCAAGCATTCAAAGTGAGGGCCATTTCATTAACCCTTAAGATATCAAGTTCAGTTTCCGTAAGTTGCCACTGTGCTGCTCGCATATTTCAACACGAGAGAATCGCCTCAGGTTGATTTTGGGGAAAGTGTTTGAGATCGTTCTATCATTATAAAGAGTTTTTAGGACACTTAAAAAAAAAATTTAAAAAAGATTGATCATAGTAGGCTCCAGGCCCGCTTATATGCACAGCATATTCAACAAAATAGACCATTAGATAATAATAATATAATAATAATCAAAACGTCGCTTATAAAGCGTTTACCACCGAAGATGTCAATTATGATATATTAGAAGCTATCAGATACATGCAAAATGCAAAAGAAAATACCACTAAACGTCATGGTTACCTGATACAAATATATTTCAAGGAAAGTATATGTTTCCCTGAACAGGGATTGAATCAAGTGAGAAAAAAGGTAATGATAATAATGGAAAGGCCTACAGTATGGTAAATAATTTCGATATTCATTGTACAAATTATTTCATTTTTCAGTCTATTCGTTTTTACGAGAGCACTAAAAAGACACCCTCCACTCATAAAAATGAAACATGGCAATATAAAATACTATGCAGCGTTTAAGCACACACATCAAACATTTAACATAAAATTCGTTCCGATTTGTTCTTTCCATTTCGTTCCTACGATATAAATAATCTTTTAATATATTTGAATTTGTAGTAGTAACGTAAAGCCCCATGAACCATCTTATCTTAATGTTCCTAAAATACCTCTATGTTGAAACGACTTTTGTTCTATTCTTCATGGCATAATATTATAATACCTAGCAATTTTGCAGCTTGAGTCTTTCAATATTAGAACACCCTTACAAATCGATTCGTACAGTTTCAGATTCCCTGGTTGTACTTGATTAATTATGCGATATCTAGCAAGGAGCACGTGACTCTAGGGGGGGGGGGGGGGGGGGGGGGGGGGGGGTAACGGAAGGCGTCTGTTGACATGTTGCGGCTGTACTGAGGGAACGTGTCTCGGTAACGACTGCTGCTTGGCGGGAACGGTCATCAAGAAGAGAGCAGATGGCAAAGAAAAAATACAAAAGAGAAAAGAGAAAATGGCAAAAGATGGTTAATTGACAGTTAAAAGTAAACACACTATTATTTTCTAAAGCTTTTTTGAATTTCCTGGTCATTTGAGAAAACAGAATGTAAATTTGTAATATGCCCAAATGCATATGATTCACCATAATTGTAATTAACCTATTTTTGTAGTTTCATAGGAGTTCAAATTGAACATAAGGAAATAAACAATTATTTTAATCATGAGTCTGGCAACTCTATGCCCTAACCTTGCTTGATGCATAGATTTCGTATTCGATTATGTCTGTATACACATTATTACAGCTTGCTCCAATGACGCTTTAACAGGGTTTTAAGCATTTCATGAGAACACAATTACCTGGTTTTCCCTGAATTTTCAATCCTGATGATGGAGTTTCAAATTTAAGGGTCATCAAAGAAGGCACCAATTTCAATCATCTAGCAACTCAGTATTATTATGATAACAAACATAGAGAGAGTTTAAAGAGATCCGGTAACTTTGTCTCAGATTTCAAAACTAAATTTTGGATTTGCTCATGCTGCAATGATAATTATAAACCTTTAGGTCAGTTAGGAACCACATGACTTGTACAAGCCGATCGCCTGTCTGATTATGAAGATATTTATGATTGGAAATCGGATCAAAATTTTGCGGTCACTCAAACCGGTCACTCAAAGATTTTTACTTTTTTGTGGCACTTCTTGATCATTTTGAAGCGCGATTTTTTTTTCTTCAGGGCTCCAATATTACACCATAACAAAGACACTGATAACACGTAGGACCGTGCATCTCAGATTTAACATTGTTAAACGATGCCTTTAAGACGGGAGTGCACTTACTAGATGTTGGCAGGAACTGGTCGCTGGCCATATTGATCAAGACGAGGCTCCTGTGTAAAGGTGTACTGCAAATACAAAAGAAGATGTAGGTTCGTCACATGAATGAGATGTGAAACAAAAATAGGTTTTCAAATAGTTCAGTTTTACTGTTTGCACCAAATATTTTTTCAAACAATTTCTGATTGAATGAAGGTTCATCCTTTCAGAGAGAGTCAATTTTTTTGTTGTTCATACCACAAATATTTTAAGAGATATGATGAAGAAAAAACAAACATAAATATAATAATGTGCTGTATGGGCATGATTTCTCCGGGGAGAGGCTGACATTTATTATCTCTAATGTTAAGTTTCCAATTTCTTTTTATTTTATAGCGGGAAAATAATCATACTTCATTTTAGTAATTCTCGCTGTTGCTGGATTGTTTATCCATTTATGGCATCTTTTATCTGTGGTCATAATTATAGCATTGAATCCCATTTTTTTTCTAGGTGTCTTGATTACTAGATAAGAATAAAATTTGCAAACAGACCAAACGTGTTGTCAACATTTGCAGGAATATTAGTAGCTTCGAGAAGTGTTAGGGACCCCCCCTCCACCCCCCCCCCCCCCCGTACGCTTGTATATTATGATATTGTACTTACTCTCCACGAACCGCTAATGGCTGGCTTCTGGTACCTCACTGCATACCCACTAAATCTCAGTTGTCCTGTAAAAAAAGGGGGACCAACAAGAGTGTTTAAATAGGGTCTTGGTCCATTATGTAAGCAAATAATTACTTCACTTGAGACTGTAAAGCCTAAAGAATGTTCGTCATAGGTGGCTAACATACTATATGCAATAGCAGACGTAACAGTGTAGTTTGGGCTGTCAATGTTCTTTCATAACTTTTTGTTCAATGTACCCATCATTAAATTGTCTTGATTGGAAATACGATTCATAACTTCTGCATGGCGATGATATTTTATATAACGTCAAGTATAGACCTACTTGAGAGTCCCTTATTTAAATCGGGATATACATGCTATAACAGATCAATTAAAACGCCGGTAAGTGTTTTTTTTAATAGTTTTTACCTTTACGTTTTTGCATTAATCAATTTTTCAAAGAATGAAACATACAAAAGACAAATTTTGGGTTTGAGTCACTTACTATCAATCAGTTAAAAACAAATCTTACTCAATTATTTTGGGCATTCATATATCAACATTGTACACCAGTGGGTTTTTTAATCTGATGTCATATTAGCATTTTTTTTTAACGATATGGGATTCCGAATACATTGATTTTGTATTGAATCTTAATTATACTGTTTGCACAGGTATTTTATTATTTTGTTTTGGTTTAATTATGTTGCTACTGTTGTGTGGTTATGAATTAATGATGTGATTCAATAGTATAATTTTACCTTGTTGTGACACTATATTTTATTTTATCTTTCCGATTTTCTCACACCTTTCACCACATATCTTACTTACCTGTGTTTTTAATCTGTGGTAGTTCTTTGATATCTTTAGCTTTAGCCCAGTCAAGACGTAGTGATCTAAACAGAAATAAAAATAAAAGTGAAGTGGCCAACATGTTAAGATAAATTGTCACTGAAACCTGTTTTATCACTAAAATATCCCCAAAACAACTCCAAACCGACCCTTTATCGAAAGAGCAATTGCCTTTCGGGAAATGTATTGTATTGCTAGGTCTATTGTCGATCTGGTGTCGGTCTTGGCTGAGTGTATTATGCATTAAGCTAGCGATACACGAGTGGAGTTCCAATAACTCTGCATGTCCGTCAAGCTCCCACACGACAGACTTTCAAAACCCTTCTTAAAACTTACCTGTTTCGTTTGTAATTTTTGACATTACAATTCATCTATGTATTATAATTGAATATGTTACTCTAATTGATTTGTCATAAGTATTTACTACCTGTATAATCTGTATTAACTTTGCTCGCAATGAATTATCTTAGCTACATGTCTTTAGTTTAGGCTCTTTATATTTCGTTCTTAATTTGTAACTATTTAAATATGCTCGTACTTGCTTGTTTTTTTTACTTTGTAAAGCGCATAGAGAAACTTCGGTTTATTATGCGCTAAATAAATCTATCTTTATTATTATTATTATTATTATTATAATGTTGACATATATCATCTTTATTTAGAGTGATAAGGTCGACAAGTTTCATGGAAAGAATGTTTTCTTCTTTTTCTTTTTCTTCTTCTTCTTCTTCTTCTTCTTCTTCTTCTTCTTCTTCTTCTTCTTCTTCTTCTCCTTCTTCTCATTATTATTTTTCCCCCATAATGGTCTACATGTTTAAACTTTTAGAACCTATAAAATTAAACGTTGTTTTTCTTACTTGACATCGTCTTTCATCGTTTCTCGCAATAATCTTCCAGTGTCGGTGATGTTCTGCAGGTGGAAAATGGTAGGAAACAAAATATATATTCACATTCAGAAAAAGGTGTAAAATAATATTATATTTCAAAACTAACACTCATTTACCATCGACGTTGTAATTTTCATCAATATAAATTCGACAAACAAATGTGAACACAGTTTAATTGCAGTGATCACTAGAAGACTAGAAGCATAACAATGCCTATACAAATTATACTCTATCTCTCTCTCTCTCTCTCTCTCTCTCTCTCTATCTCTCTCTCTCTCTCTATATATATATATCTTCACTTTTCTCTCTCGTCTCTCTTTCAAATACTATACATTACAATTTTGGTTGATTGGATTCTGTTCTTCCCGTAAATTTCATTTGATAGCTTAAAAAATAATTGTTTCAAGCTAGTGATAGACATTGATCATCCGGCTACCAAAGTTCAAATCATTGGCAAGCGAAACTGCAACATTATGTTAACCAGTTCATTAGGAGCTAACCTCTCTCTAATAATGCGTAAAATACCATACGATCAATTAACAAAATAATTCTTCACATTCAAATTTATGTGAAGAACTGCTATAGCCTACATTCTCTGCATTTATTATCCGCGCCAAAAGTATGTCAATCTATCAATCAACTCATCGCCACAGCGCAGTATAAAGCTAGCAACGGGGCAAATAAGAGCACAAACATTGGGAAAGAACAAAATATCGATTTCAGTAAATCTCTTTGTAAATTATCTCCCCCGTTGCATAGTGTCTTGTATCCTTTCTTCTTTTGTTGTGCTAAGAAAGAGAACAAGACGTGGACAGGGGAGCGCACTGTCCCTTTTCATCTAAATAAAAGATCTATACGTAACACCTCGGTAAACTGTGAATAGATCTGGAATGTTTCAAATGGTATAAACGCTCAATATAAATCAACAAAATCAACAGTGTGAGCACTGACGGATATAGGAGCTGGACAAAACTGGCACCCCCCCCCCCTTCAAAATTGTGATTTTCAGTTTAGTTCGCGAAAGAAGTCAAGTTTATAGCTACATGTATATATCGTCTGTAGCTATATATAAGTTTAGAAATATTGTTTTCTCATCTTTCTTTTATATATGAAGACAATTCTTCGTAGATATATTGTCTAAGTCTTGTTTTTCGAAGTTATCTTGCTGAGCATAACAGTTGAATAAACACGTAATCGGACCCTGAATGTAATTGCTATAAGCCAATTCATTTAATAAATCAAGGCATAATCCAATAAAATGTTTTTAATAAATCAAATTAATTAAAAATCGACCAGTGTCGATGGAATCTATATGCATTCGCCTTTTAAACGCAATCAATCAACCAATCAATCAATCTCGCTTCATTATGTAGGCCTGTAAGGCTGTAACATAATATGATGCAGGTGTTAACTCTAATCTGCAGAGCTTTTTGAAAACGCGCCAAGTCATATTTAGTTTGTATGTTCTATCGTCTGGTGTCTCTGCGTTCGGTCGGCGGTTGATATGGTAACGGGTAATGCCCCACACGCAGGAATGTGGTTTGAATGTTGATATGGCATGCGATTGGGATTCGATTCTGTATGGAAATATGAATGGATGAATTTTGCAATCATTCTTCCCAACTGCAGACCCATATTCTACTATTTCAATTTAACTTCTAACTTAGTCTCTTCAATTATCCCTTAATTTTTGTCTTCTCTCTTGAATACTTCATCCTTCTCTCGTAATTTTTACTTCTACAGTCCACCAAAGGCTTTTTTTTGTATTTATGCCTTCCAAATCATAGTTTTTATTAGTCGTGCGTGGATTCACATACATGTACATCACCTCCATATAAACATAATTTATGCAATTCATACAGAACCCGAATTGCCTTTTCCAACTGCCATCCAATATTCCATTCTACTATTGAATGCCATAATATTCTTCGATTCTTTTTTTTTCTGTATTCAAATAACGTGTTTTCAATTATGTCTCCCTCGCCAACATTAATGATGCATGGGCCTATCTTTTCATCGTTCCCAGCATATTCTGCAAATGAACTACAAAATAAACAGACCCCGTCTCCCAATTCTCTCTCTCTCTCCCTCTCTCTCTCTCTCCCTCTCTCTCTCTCTTTCTTTCTATCCACAGAAACTGTAATATAAGCGCTTGTATACATGAAGCAGGTGACTCTACGGAAATACATCCGTGTTTCGAATGACCTATTAATCAAGCTAATGATCATTAAGCATTCTGTATGGAAGATATTATACGATCCGGCGTACAGCACATGCAGATGATTCTATAGTTCAGATAACTTCAATGTTTCATTACGAGTGTTTTTCCCGCAGCTAAAAAAAATGACAACAAAGACCAAAAAAAAAATGCTGAGCGTCGTTTTCATCAGCGACATAAAATGGCGACTCTGCAATAAAAGCTTTGGTGAGATGTAGTTTATAAATAATTAATAATTTCATTTGATGACCTTTGCAAAACACAAATAGCTGATCATTTTCCCCTGCATTGTATACGTTACCATGGTGACTTTACGTTATCGATTTCAAAATCAGTATAAAATTATAGTCAATGTTTGAATTTGTCTCTATGCTCGCATGGGGAAAATGTGTAACAAACAAAACGTTTCTTTCTTTATATGATTGTAATAATTTTAATCAATACACAAATAAACTGTCTCACACTTTTTAAATGTTCTAAATTTAGATCTTACATTCCAAATGCACTGAAAAGCGCAAAAATGTTCAGAATTAAACACTGGCTTAATTAACAGATGTTTACAAAACTTAACTGGGGTAGTGGGGGGAGGGGGGGGGGCAAAATATGCTATCAAAATAATTTCAATTTCCGCTTTGAAAAATATGATATGTAATACCCAGTTCTCTCTCCGTCTCTCTTCTCTCTCTCTCTCTCTCTCTCTCTCTCTCTCTCTCTCTCTCTCTCTCATCAATGTAGGGGGTAATGTCTTGCTCAAGTTCACGAATTGCAACTTACATTCTTCGTCAAGGGTTTTGTCGATTTCATATCGTGTTTATTTAAGTTGTGGCTTCGCGTGGGTCCGTGAATTGCGGTCTACTAAATAACACTTTCAAAATGTATTACGAGTGTTTTTGTTAATAACAATTGCATATTGGGCTGATTCTTTTTAATACGGATGATCATTATCTAAAAAGCAAAACACTTCGCTATTCATCGTGCTTATTGAACAGAATTCATCATGCGGATTTTAACAATGTCTCGGGAATATATGGTCGATTTGAAATGATTTATTATTGAATTAATGTTTGTTTTGTGATCGTGGTTATTGTGATTGATCAAAACGGTGGGAGGCAGTGTTTGTGTGTTGAGATCAAAGGTGGGGGTCGGGGGGGGGGGGGTGGTCTGAGAAAGGAGAGACTGTTCTTAGAGGCAGGGTGCATTATAGCCAGGAACAACTTCCCAAAATGATTTGGGAATAAACTCTTTTTTTTTAAGCAGTCCCCCCCCCCCATATACTACATGTATTTGTACATGTACCATTGTTCATTGTTTATAAGTTATGTTCGTGAATGCTTGCTATGAGTCATTGTTCGTGAAGCAAGACTTCCCGGCTTCATACGTGCATTATTCGATGATGGTGCTCACATTTGGTCACTACATTAGGTAAATACATTTACACGATATATTTATTTATTTTTATTTTATTTATTTATTTATTTTTTATTTTTATTTATTTATTTATTTATTTTTTTATTTATTTATTTATTATTATTATTTTTTTTTATTTTTTTATTTTTTTTTATTTATTTATTTTTTTTTTTGGGGGGGGGGGGGGTGTTCTGCAGGAATAATTTCGAGAAGACTTACCGCTCCGTTGTAGGTGTTTGCTGGTGGCTGGAAATAAGTGGCAGTGGCGTTCTGAAAGTCAGCTATATAAAGAAGAAAAAGGAAGGGGGTATATTAATCATATTGCTGGACAACTACACATCAATAGAGACGTCTCCCTATTTCTAGCATGATATTGGGGGAGGGGGAGGGTTGTGTCCTGACGATTCTAGCCCCATCTACATTACTTACCTTTTTATATTTTAATGTTGATGTTTGTTAACTGATGTAGATTTTCATTGTTCTTTTATGCTTATGTATCTGTTTTTCATTTGCTCTATGTGTCAAATGTGTACAATGTAATCTGTTACCTTGTATATTGTTCTGGTTTTTAATGTGGAAAATAAATTAAATGAAAAAAATATGAAATGAAATAAAGCCACCATGTTTGCCTTTGGATTTAAACGAAATGAATGTACCAAATAGCAATAATAATCATTAATACTCATATTGTCTAAGATGACTCTTATACAAGATTTGTGAATTATTACGTGTAAACTTCTTCAAATTACCGTTTTTAATCAACCGTCCAGACCATATAAAGTCAGGGTAAATAATATTCCTAAGATTTGTATAATGTTCAATTACAGCTTCATTATTTTATGTATGAATACCCCCCCCCCCCCCCCAACTTGTTGAATGAACAAAGATGGTGTATATCAATACAAACAAATTGGTGGAATACGATTTGGGAAAACAAAATAAATGGCAATTGCGTTACTCACTCATCGAAGATTTCTCGGGTTTACATGCAGTTAACGATTTATAAAAGACGCCGCAAACATCAATACAAACATAGAATTTGAAAACAGTTTGGTGAAGGGAAGAAAAAATATGACTAAGAATTTTTAGCCGCGTGGAATGTAGAGAAAGCAAATAATTTTCAGTCTATAGTTTATCCTTTCCCAACAGTGTGATACAATCACCTCTATCTCGTTAAGAAAATTAAGAAGTAGAAATAGTCTTATAGTTTTAGTAAATGTCTTTATAAAGTTAAAATGAACTTAACGTACATACGACCAGTATAAAACTTTTTTGTTGTAATATACCCATAATAATTGAATATAAAAAGATATCAAACTAAATATAGAGAAGGTGATTGAATGAGATCTTACCTGGTCCTACACCAGTGGTAGTCCTGCAATGTTCGTCCGGCAGTCTATGGGCAGCTGTGTCCATGTCCATACGCCTAAAGGTTGGTAGGGAGGGGTGGTATAAACCCTCCTTGACCGCCGCCAACTGGGCCCTCCTAAAAGTAGGGTATTGCGGGACATAATATGGTACTTCTACCGTCGGCATTTTCAGATATTAACTATTGAAATATTTAAGAAACACTTTGATATTATATAGCGAAGCAAGATCCTCTTTTGCTGCTGAATATTGGAGATGATGAGTATGGGAATCGTGTTCGAACTTTGTACTGGCCACTCAAGCTATAAAAAGATAAGACGCTGGAGATGTTGTTTGTGTTAAACACAGTTCACTTGTTGCCGGTGCGCTAAGGAGTGACTACGCATGGTAATCCCTATTGTAATCAAGTTTGATTGTTACGTGCGCATCCAGGGAAGACCGTCCCCCTAGCAACGCGTATAATGATGGTTCCAAGGACGCATGCGCAGTTTACGTAATTGCTTTATTATTACTGTAGGAACGTTAATGAATAATTCATCGATGTGCGGGGCTGGCTCGTACTAGGAGGCGGCAGAAAATTAATCAAGTAATGGATGATGAAAAAAGAATAGCTTTTAGATGATTAATGTCAATTCTTACCACATGTGTAAATTCATAGGCCTGTGCAATAAATTTATGGCGTTAATTTGATATATTAAAAGGGTTTAACAAATTAATGTGTTCGCCTTTTTTCGATACATAAAAAGTAAGCAAAAACATATTTCCTTTGGTCAAATATATCTCCCTCCCCCCAACAACAAAAAGTATCATCCCTATTTCCACACAAAAAATAGGCTTTCTGTATATTTACAAAATAGATCATTGAAGCTGATGAATTGATGATTAACATACAGTAACAGATGTTAATTCTACATTTATCTTGGTTAGAAAACGAATTACAATCTTTTCCACACTATTTATTACATTGGTCCCAATATTGATATTTGCAGGGGATATTTCTTACTCAATTCGTTTTCATACCGCCAGTACTTATCATCATCATCATCTTCTTCATCCCGTGTGTCGATCCCTCTCTGTAGGTCGGGTCTCTTCGTTACCGCGGCTCTCCACATCTCATCCAGTCTGTATCCGTTTCCGAATCAATTTATCTACAATCTCCCAACCTCTCCCTAGCTGCGTCTTCCTTTCTTTCTCCTTCCTTTCTAGTGTATCTCTGCTGTCCAGCTCATCTTCATCCTTTCTCTTCACCTGTCCATACTATCTCATTCTGCTCTCTCTCTCTCTCTCTCTCTCTCTCTCTCTCTCTCTCTCTCTCTAAATCTTCTCCCTTACTCCTTTTCACTTTCAATTCCTATCGTACCCATACAGAAGGAGTAGGGATAAATCCAGTATTATCCTATAAAAATGCAGTCTAATGTTTCCACATTATACCCTTCACCTATATCTTACCATTATGTTGTTCATGTTGCTACTATGTTGTAGTTCTCTTTTTTCTCTTTCTCCAAGCTCTCTATCCTCTTCTCCTCCTTGCCTATCCATTTCTTCCCTTCTTTCTTTCTTTCTTCTATCTATATTATAATGTATATTATGCATTTGTGTATTCAGGCGTACCCATTACAAGCTTTGCTTATCGGGATTCGCGCCTCCTTCCTTGTAATACATTCAAGTTCTTTAATTATATTTATGTTCCTACGTATAAATGTATTGTTTAAACAGATGTTAAATATGTTGTCAAATTGAATGGAAGAAACTAAATGTTTATTTGAATTGAAATTAAAATTCGAATTGAATCATATCCCGTATCGCCTCCTCTGTTTGTTTGTGTTTTTTTTTACCCCTCTCACACCTCCCAGACATCTCGGTCCGAATTCACAAAGGAGGTTTGTCGACAAACCTTTTTTTGTTTCGTCAAACCTCCTTTTGTTTTTTACAAACCAGGTTTGTAAAAACCGCGTCAAAACGCGTCATATGACGTACGAAAACCTGGTTTGTCGACAAACCTTCCTTTGTGAATTTGGGCCCTCATCTCTGCAGCTTCCAGCTGTTTCACGTGGTCTTCCTTTTACTGCCCAGGGCCCGTGTTTTATACAACTTGTTATCGATAACAAACGCTAAATTTCTATGACAAATTTGTCCTCGGCCAATCAAAGGCCATGATTTCAGTAGCTTATAACATTTATAGTGGCTTGTTATTGAAAACAATTTTCATGAAATAGGTCTTTCCCCCATAGACTATAATAATAGTAATAATAATCCATTTTTATAGAGCGCATAACACATTTCAAAGTATGTCTCTACGCGCTTAGAAAGAAAAGCAAAGAGAAAATAGGAAACTAAGTTCCTTTTACAAGAAATTGAAATAAATACGTTTTCAGGGTGGACTTCAACTTATCTATTGTGTCAGTGTTTCTAAGTGAGTCGAGGTGGGTATTCCCTAAAACTGGGGCAGCATGGGCAAATGAACGTTCACCATATGTGTTTGTCAAAATAGGAGGAACAAAAAATACATTCCTTTTACATGATCGAAGATTTTTTACTGGTTTATATACAGTGAGTAATAAGAGGGAGCAAATTCATAAAACATTCATAAGCTTACAGCGATAACTATAATGTTACCGCGCGGACCATCGTTTTGAGCTTTCGGTCTTTTTGGAATCATTTTATTGCCGTTTAAAAATAATGCACTGTATATATCCTCTAAATAAGAACGAAAGGACTAGCACTAGTAACATACCGAGTTTATGCACAACTGTTTTTAAGCAGATGAATTTTAGTGTGCAGTGCAGTCTTTACACCAGCTTTTTTTCTTCTCATAACGACGTAAAGTTAATGTAAACTTTCGAATGAGCTCGTTTTTCCAACTTTGTTTCGATGGAAGTAAAAAAGCAATATCAGCAATGGAATACTGTTTGGGGAGGGGGGATGAGGCATCTCATTCCATGTGAGAGAAAATTTAAACTTAGTACACAGTTGAATCACATCTACGAAGTAGTCGACTTTGACAAAATACAGGTGCTCTCATCTTGGATTGTAACTATTGTTCTTCCTGTCCCCATTCATCTCTCTCTCTCTCTCTCTCTCTCTCTCTCTCTCTCTCTTTTTCTCGCTCTCCCATCCTCCTCCTCTCTCTCCTCCTCATCATATGAAAAATATGTTACTAGCGACGTAAAGTTAATGTAATTTTTCGAATGAGCTCGTTCCTCCAACTTTGTTTCGATGGAAGTAAAAAAAAAAAGCAATATCAGCTATGGATATTGTTTGGGGAGGGGGGATGAGGCATCTCATTCCATGTGAGAGAAAATTTAAACTTAGTACACAGTTGAATCATATCTACGAAGTAGTCGACTTTGACAAAAAAACAGGTGTTCTCATCTTTGATTGTAACTATTGTTCTTCCTGTCCCCATTCATCTCTCTCTCTCTCTCTCTCTCTCTCTCTCTCTCGCTCTCTCATCCTCCTCCTCCTTCTCCTCATCATAGGAAAAGGCGATTTACAGTTAACTACATTATTCATAAGTCGTGAAATATTGATTTTTCCCCTATTTATGTTTCTTGAGAATGCGACATAGTACTAAAGCTTACATCTACCAGTATTCAACAAAGGCCCTAATTCAACCAGTCCACCTTCCATCCATTCTTGAGTTACGAAAAACGCAAAAACATCAAATTTACAAGGGGTATGAGTTGTTCAGTTGTCAACTGTAAATAAGTACAAAGTGCCACTACTCCCTCTCCAGCAAGCATTTCCATTCTTTGGGCAGCCTACATGCCACCTTCTTGCACACACGCATATTCAGAACATACTGAAAACCGTAGCATTAAGATCAATTTTAAGCTGTAGATTATTGCATTAAATGAAACAAAAATGGAATACATTAAATGCAATAGCACGTACTTTGACACTAATATCGAACAGAATAATATTATAGCAATCAACATGTGTTCATTTTAGTTTTCTATATTTATTTTCTAACTACATTGTATGTAGACAGTAAAAAAAAGAAACAAAGAGTTGATTTTTAACAAGAAATTACTTTGCATAATAAATTCTAATACGTAAATCATAATGACAATTCCCAGGAAAAGACAAGAAACACATCTAATAGACATATTCATAATAGTTTAAAATAATATTCATGTACACACTGTAGTTCATACTAGTGTAGGTAATGGTCATCAAATTACATGATGAATATATCCGTGGTAATTAGCTTTTTACAAGATCTAAAATCTTGATTCAGCAGTGAGATGTACATTTTTGTATGGTCATGAACAAAGACATTAATACATTGGATGTTCGTGAGGATGTGGGGATGTTTGTTTAAAAAAAAATATTTGACATGTTTTCAACAAACCAAGGCATGTAAACTGCACTGTATTGACGTCTGAGATATACTTTTTTTTGTACCTCAAAATCATTTCAAATCATTTGAATGACACTTCTAAATATAATCATACTAAGTGATTTAAAAAAAAAGGTGAACAATGGGAATCGAGAGGCATCCACTCAAATGTTTCCTTAAAGCGGGACTGCACTACTTGTTTCTACTTGCGCCCTCTATACAGCCAACAATGCCTAGTGGTACCGTACCCGTTAGTCCCCCATTGTCCCCTTATTCATATGTTAATAGAGAGCTGGTTTGATGAGATAACCACCTGCCACAGTGACCATGCAGGGAGGTCTAATCCCTCCTGGCCAAACTAGTGCAGATAGGCTTTAAAATGAAGAAACTATTTGATTTATGGTAAACAAGGGAGAATCCTCCCAACAATGGGTGGGGGGGGGGGGTATCTACTGTATACAATTTATAAAAAATGAATTTACAAGAAAAAGAAGTAACCCTTCACCAGTTTGAGTCGAAGGTAAAAAAGAAGCTTCCCAAACAGTATAATTATGTACATGTATAGAGGTGGTTAAACAGATATTTTCTCTATCAGCCAAATAATAATAATAATAATAATAATACTCAGTTTTTATATAGCGCTTATTACAATCACTAAGCGCTTCCAAACTTGGAGATTATTACCCCAGCTTTAGCTGTGCTGCCATTACGGCGCTCTAGCATTTCAAAAAATTAATTCCTGCCAGGTACCCATTTACATCACCTGGGTTGAGTGTGGCAAATGTAGATCAATGTCTTAGAAATCCCTTACAAGAGAAATATAAAGAGTATAATATATATATGGAAAGTGTAATAGATTTTAAAAAATGTTGCACGTACTGCCCCCCCCCCCCCCCCCCCAATCCCACATACAAAGCATAAGGTGTAAATAAATAAATTTTCTCTTACACACTAATATTGAATGGCAATCACACTATATGCACTACAATGTATATTAGTCCAGGCTAGAGAGCAAGGAACCTTGTTTTGT